GCTTACTCCTATATATAAGCTATGGTTTTTGGGTTAATTGATATATACATTTCTATATTCCATTTCCAAATTCTATACACTCATATTAGTGGAAATAAGAGGCAATTTTTATTGTTCTTAAGGAATGCTTAAATTTGTGTTTTGGTTTAGATATACCTTTTATATTATCTAGATCTCATTTTCTTTATAGCTTTTTTAATTTCTTCTCTTTTTTTTTTCTTTTCTCATTTGTTTTCATAGTAGAGCAACAACCTCCTCCTCCTTTGACTCTGGAGCAATAATTAATGTAGTTGATCAATGTTATATGGGTGTAGTGGAACAATCAAACTTAGTTGTTGGCACTATTCATGATGCGTGGTACAATTCCTTTTGCTCTTAGGGCAGGGTTCCATACATCCCCTCAGGGGAAGTTTTTCAGGGAGGAAAACTTTTAACACCTTATTTCATGCACCCCTCTAGTGACATGGCATTGAAATTGGGGGGAAGGAGGGGAATCCAATGTCCCCCCCCCAAAACTTTTTCCTAGTGCCTAAAACCTAGTAGAACAAACTAACAAAATGAAAAAATGGCAATCATTACTTATAAATTACAAAATAAATTTAGCTGTATATTAATAACATGGCATTTTTAAGGAGAGTTATATGTAACCTTAAAAGTTTAGATGGGGGAAATCTTTTTTCTAGAGTGGAGAAATTTCTAGGTGGCAGATGCATGGAACCCCACTTTTACTGCCAGTCTTTGTGTCTAGCTGGAGTTCTTTCGTGGAAATCTTAGGGATGGTGTGTACGATTGGTTTGATCACTATACGGTGATTGCCACTTATCATTTTTGGGATGATGGTCAGTGCTTGCATGAGTTTCCCACGTGTCTTTAAGGGACAGCATTGTAATAGTACAACGGTTTAAGTGTAGCCACTTGTACGGATTAGAGCATTCTTCTAAACATCTTCAAATGTGCATTTGGATATATTGACGATTGTGACAAAGCTTTTTAATAATTGCATCATCTTTGTTAAGGACCATTTGAATTAGTGATGCAATTTAGCATTTAGTGTTGGAGCATTGTGCTTCGTGCAGAGTTAAATATGTTAAAGCAGATCAAGTTGGGAATGTTATAACTAGCACTTTATTAAAATCTTGTAGAACTTATGCATGCACTTACTTCAGCCACCCTTGACGATGCTCTTTGACTGGCATAACATTATAAAATATTACCTTTTCCACTTCTCACTACACGTCCTTCAACTCTTAGGAGATGATCTTATTTCAATGGAGGTTGATGTTATTGTTGTTCGTATTCAAGGATAAGGGTGAGGATGTGGTCATGGTTGTAATGTCTGATGTTGGGTGTGTGATGAAGTTGATCACATATATTGGTGTTGTTGGCATTTTTTAGATTGGCATCCTCCATTTCTTAAGTGAAGGCCTTGGCATCAACAATGTTTTATTGGTGCTATTGCAGTGGAAAGTTTTGATATAAAGATGAAGAGTCGTGTGAGTAGTGGAGGGAATAAGTTAGTGATTCCTCCATCCTTATTTTGGGAGTATCATCAAGGGCTCTAGTGTTTATTTTTTAAAATCATTTTTATACTAAGAGGTCTTCTATTATTTTCTTTGTGTTAGTTGATATAGGCTTTTATTTTCTATTGCTCGGCGTATTATCACACATTGATATTTATAGTTATGTCATGCGATAGAGCTAGTCTTCATTCTTTATAGCAATAGTTATACACATATGTGTAGGCAAGATGAGACAAACTTAGTTGTGCATGTGGGTGATCTTGAGCTTGAACTTTAATCATTATTAATGGTGCTAATTTAAAATTTTAACCTCATCCTTGGTATAAATTGATTATAGTTCAATCATGCCAAGTGTTTGAGGCTTCTCCTCTTTATTTCATACTTTTTATATTTATTTTATTCCTTTTATTTTTATTCCCCTTTGTCCCTTTACTTTTACCTCTGCTTCCATCACTTTTGTCTCCTTATTACTTTTGATTGTGTTTCCATTTTGCTGCTCTATTCCCCCTCTAAATCCTTTTGACAGTCTTTGTGTTGTAACAATTGACTAACTTAAGAAGGAGTATGTTAATCACTTCCACTTTGACTTATTATCTGTGGCCAAAATTGCAACATGTCATCCTATTTTAATTGAGGATGCTTGTTCAATCAAGATTTCTATTTGGCATCAGTCACCAAAGGAGATCAAGATTTTATATGCAAATGTTAAGTAAATATTAGAGAAGGGTGTTATATAAAAACCTTAAAGTTCTTAAGCATATGAATCTTCTTGTGATGAAGCCTGATGAGAGTGTTTTCTTCCATATTGACTATTGTTTATTAAACAAAATGAGTATCTCAAATGTGTACTATATTCCTCATAATGCTGATTTTCTGGATTGTCTGGATAGAAATTGTTAGTTCACCAAGTTAGATCTTGCTTCTAGGTACTAATAAGTGGAGATGGCCAAGAAAGATGATCCCAAGATAATGTTTTGTACACCATTTGGTTTGTATAAAGTTTTGTAATACCATTCGATTTAAATAATGCTCTAATGACTTTTCAACAAGTGATGGATGCGGTTCTTTGTGATATGCTGGAGGTGACTACTAACTTTATTAATGATGTTTTAATCCACTTTGAGGGGATATGGGAGAAGCACATTTGTGATGTTCGTAAGGTGTTGGATCTACTACAGGAAGTTAGTTTAAAAATTAAACAATCAAAGTGCATATTTGGATATAAACACACAACTTACTTTGGATACCATATTTATCAAGGTTGCAAATTGATCTTGACAAATTTGTTATTATTCTAAAGTTCCTTACTCTGAAGTGTGTGAATGATGTGTAGTACTTCCTGAGCAATGTGCAATATTTCGATTGTTTTGTTGATCATTTTTCTGATTGTATTACACCATTGTGAGCATTGCTGAAGCCATTAACATCATCTTTCATTTGGTCTAATAATTGCAAATAGGCCTTTTTTAATCTTAAAGAGCTATTGATAACTCTTCCATGATTATACTTGACTTTTCATTTTGTGTGTGGATACTTCTAATATTAGAGGTGTTTTGATGCAAGAGAGCACAAGTGTGTTTAGTTATCATCATCCCATTGCATATATCAGCCATACATTATAACCAATGAAGATGAACTACTCCATGTTAGAGAAGGAGTATTTAGTAGCAATTTAAAGTTTTGAAAAGCTTTATACATATTTATATGGTTTTTAGGTGTTATTGAAAGGTGATCATGCTATAGTTATTTCGTTATTGAAGTAAAAGAACTTGGTTAATAGTCGTATTACTCAGTAGGCTCTGAAGTTTCAGATATATAATTTCAAGGTTGTTCATTACTTGGGGAGTTCTATAACTGATGTTAAGGCTCTTTCTATTTTTAACGAGTTTATTATTCTAGCATCTATGAATTTTATGAACAAAGATTTCGTACCATTGACAATTGGTGTTCAATGTCCACAAGATGTAGAGCAAGATTTACCTTCTCTTGATGAGGTTCGTGAGGCTCAAAAGGTTAAGCTGTGAATCCGAAGGCTTTATGATAAATTTGAAAATCTTGTATCATTCGCTAATGACTTTCCATTTTGGCATTTACATTTTCAATGTCACTTTAAGGATGACTTTCTTTATTTTATAGGAATGAATCTTGATGATCATTTATGGTTGGTGATGCATTCGATCTTTATTCTATGCTTTCTCTATGTTTACCATAATTCTCTTATTCTATGTGGGCACATGCTTCACTATATAAACTCTTATATAGTCATAATCTGATACTACCAATGGAATTGAGTTTACCTTCGTGATTGCCATGAGTTGTAAATTCTAGGTCTTGGGATTAGTATTTGACGAGCATTTTTTCACTTGTCTAAATGGAGTTTGCTGAACACTTGGGCTATGTACAAGTGGGATAACAATGGCATTATAACTTCCATCATCATCCACTAGCAGAGTACAAAGTGAATGACTTGATGTTAGTCCATTTTCTCAATCTTACGATATGTAGTTTGTTTAAGGAGCTCCTTTCTTAATGGAAAGGACTGTATTGGGTGTTGTGGCAAATTAAATTGCAAGTTTATAAGGTTTAGCATGACATTCAATAATCCAATCCTTCAAAAATTATGTATGTACAATGGTTAAAATACTTCATACAAAGGAATCAAGAATAACTAATAACACCTACAAATCCACTATTGCCTCCTCCTAATATTTCTTCAGATCTTAACCTATCAACCAAATAACTTTTATTACTTTCCATCCTTCCGAGATGAGGGGATGATATGAAATTTAAGTGTACAGTTATGATGTTATATACTAATATGATTTTAAAAATGATCAAATTGATCTCAATCCAGACCACTCGCTCTTGTATATAAGCTTGGGTTTTTAGGTTAATTGATATTCACATTTTTGTATTCCACTTCCATATTCTATGCACTCACAATAGTTTGTTGTGTTTAGCATGCTTAGTTTGCTTTGAATTTATATAATTATCAAGCTTGAAAAATAATTAAACAATTAAATTATAATAACACCTTCATAAACCTTTAGCCCATGTCATTAAAACTAACATTCACATATTCAGATAATATTAGCTCTAAACCCAACCCAGTGAAGCCAAGAAGCAATAATTTCAAGAAAGCATTTTATCCAAGTCCAAAATAATGTGAATACAAAGTTATGTTTTACCAAAGGTAGATGAAGTTTTGTTGGAACAAAGTGTTGCAGATGAGATAAAAGATAATAGTATAACATAGATTCATTTCCCTTTTGAATTGCCTATCTATACTTATATATAAAATTTTGGTACACAAGAAACGAATTATGAAGTGAAATTATGCTATTCTATAAAATATATAGTTTACAAATATAGATAAATATATTACTAATAGTAAATTTAGCATAGTTTATAAATATAGTTTGATATACAACCTTAATATATTTTATATCTTAGATAAATTTTTATATTAAAAGCTATATATTTTAGATAATAATTAAACTTTTTAGAGTTTTTGAATTGTAAAGGATCATGGACTGAGCAGGAATTGAACCCTATACGTTCACTCATTTGTTTATGGCGAGCCAGCGCAATGCTCGGTTCTCGAGGTCGCGAGGCCGAGATGCGGCTCCTACTTGCTGCTGTGAGTGCGATCTGGATTGCTGGCTCCCCCACGCTTGCTTCTTGGAAGAACTCCTAGATCAGGGAGCTGGGATCGTCCACCGCAGAGCTGAGCCCAGATCACCGCTGCTCGATCCTCATCCATACCTCTTGCTGTTCCTCCTCGTCCTCCAGCTCCGGCGCTGTTCCCTTTGAGCTTACACAGCTTTGGCCGCGGCATCACTTGAGGATTTTCAAAGGCTGGCTAGCAGCACGCGGCCGCCATGGCCATTGGGGCGATCGCGGGCTGGCGGTTATCCAGTGCTGTGTGCCTTGGGTAACCATAGAATTTAGTTTTAGGAATCAAAATTTGTGTTGGCAAGTAAGGTATATGCCGCTGCATTCTTTGGATTCAGTGCAATCACCTCCTCCATGGCATGGGATCCAATTTGGGCGTTTTTGTGAGCTCTACAAGACCCAAGCAAGCATATCCAATCCAACGCATCCGGAGCAAAAGGCATGCCCTTGATCAAATCTCTTGCATGATCCAGATATCCAGCACGGCCGAGTAGATCGACCATGCAACTATAATGCAGCTTCCCAGGACTTCTTTGGAAATCCAATGTGATTGACAAGAACCAGCTTCGACCATTGTATACTTTTCCAGCATGGCTACAGGCGAGAAGCACACAAATGAAAGAGATCTCATCGGGTGTGGTGTTAAGTGCATTCATCTCTGGGAATAATTCCAAAGCATCGTTGGGATGCCCATTCTGTGCATACCCACCGATGAGACACGTCCACGCCTCCATTGATCTTTCAGGCATCTGGTCAAAGAGCTTCTGGGCATGGTGCATTTGACCTCTCTGGGAATATGCTGCCAGCATAGCAGTCCACGTCACCGAGTCTCTCGCGTCCATCCTATCAAAGACTTCCCTGGCTTTCTCTAGATTCCTAGCTTGCGAATACGCCGATACCATTGCATTCCAGGACACCACATTGCGTTCTCCCATCCGGTCAAAGAATCTCCTCGCCTCATCGAGATGCCCGTTCTGGGAATATGCCGAAAGCATGGCAGTGTATGATATCACGTCAGTCTCAGGCATCGAATCAAACACCTGCTTAGCTTCCTCCACGTGGCCGTTTGCGGCATAAGCTGACAGCATGGCATTACACGTCACTACATTCTGGTCGGGCATATTCTCAAATACGTGTTTTGCTTCTTCAAGATGCCCGGTTTGGGCATATGCCGTTGTCATGGTACAGCACGTCACCATATTCCACACTTCCATACGGTCGAACAAATACCTTGCATTGTAGAGATGCCCATTTTGTACGTAAGCAGAGATCATTGCATTGAAGGATCCCAAGTCCCGTTGCTCCATTGTGTCGAATATTCTCCTGGCGGCTGTAACATTTCCTCTTTGAGCAAACGCTCCCAGCATGACCGTGGATGACACGAGATCGTGGACGTCCATTCTGCCAAAGAGAGATGCTGCCTCGTGAAGATGCCCGTGATGCGTATATGCCGAAAGCATCGTTGTACACGTCACCATATCCCTCTCCGGGAGAGAATCAAACAGCGCTCTCGCCTCTTCAATGTGTCCTTGGCTGGAATATGCCGCTAGCATGGCAGAGAAAGATACCATGCTTCGCTCAGGTATGGTGTTAAAGACTGATCTAGCTTCTTCAAGATGCCCGTTTTGGTCATAAGCAGAGAGTAGCGAGTTCCAAGAGGAGAGATTTCTTTCTTCCATGTTATCAAAGACATCCTTTGCCTTAACAAGGTTTCCATTTTTCGCATACATGGAAAGAAGTGAGTTCCAGGAGAGAACATCCCATTCAGGCATCCGGTAAAACAAGGCTTTGGCTTTTGGCAAATTCCCAGATCGGGCAATTGCAACAAGAAGCGACGTCAACACAAACAGATCCCACCGCGGCATCGAATCGAAGAACGACTCGGCCTGCGCAATTCTCCCATTTTGGATGTAAACGCCTAGCATCGCAAACCACGAGAAATCGTTCTTGTTCTGGATGCCATCAAACACAATCCAGGCTTGCTCCACGCCCCCGCATTTCCCATACATCTGCACGACCCGGTTGAGCACGTAGACATCCGATTCGAACGAGAGCTGGAGGCGCGAGTGGAGAGATTTGGCGCTAGAGAGCGAGTTACAAGACTTGATGAGATCGATGCATTGCGTTCTATCCCAAGTCATTAAAGTTGCACAAGAACCCTAAATTCTCTGCCACGTGGCAGCATCTTGTGGAGTCCGTTAAAGCTTAAACCCAAAACCCTACACCCTAAACCGGCGGCCCTAGGGTTTTTGGGCTCGAGAGAGAAGAGAGGAAAATGCTGGGCGCTGCCAGGAATCGTCTCCTTGCCCCGGCGGCGGGCACGATCTTCACGCGCCTTCGCGCGGCGCTCACAGGTGGGGGCAAGGCATGGTACTCCTCCGATTTTGATTTGGGGAAGAAGCCCGGGGATTGGGACTGCGCGACGTGCTTCCATCTCAACTTCAGCAGGCGCGATTCGTGCCAGCGCTGTGGGAACCCTCGCCCGGTGGGCGGCGGCGGCGGCGGCGGTGGTGGATCGATGAGCATGGGCGCTGATCGGGGCTGGGGCGGCGCGGATGTCAAGCCCGGCGACTGGTTTTGCCCGTCCTGCAATACCCACAACTTTGCTAGCCGTGGCACTTGCTTCAAGTGTGGCAATGAGAAAGTGGAGAACAATGCGTCCATGGATGGGAGGCCCGGATGGAGGATGGGTGACTGGACTTGCACTGGGTAAGTTGAGATTTTCTTGGTTCTTGTCTAGAGGTTTGGTTCTACTCGATTCTATGTTCTTAGTTCCAGCTTCTCTATTGCCCTTCTTGCAGTTCTTCCTGGTTTTGTTCTTCTGAATGATCTCACTGTTCTAACTTGTGAGAAGCTTTGGTTTAAGTTCTTCCTGGTACTCTTCCTGGTTTTGTTCTTGCGCTCCTAAGTTTCTTTGCAAGTTCTTAGTTTGTTCTGTGTTATTCTACTCGATTCAAGTTCTTAGTTGTATTGCTCTTCTTGCTGAATGTTCTCACCGCTCTAACTTGTTAGAAGCTTTGATTGAAGTGTTCCCGAGCTCTAACTTTTCTACTCTTCTTGGTTTCGTTCTTGTGCTCTTAAGTTTCTTGCAAGCTAAGTTCTTACTTTGTCATGCTTCTCTTTGTGTGTAGCTGCAGCGAGCACAACTTTGCCAGTCGTACCGAGTGCTTCAAGTGCAATGCTCCAAAGACTTCTGGTAAGTTTCTTGTGTTCTTTTGGTTTTCGAGTGCCTTGATTTTGCGATGTTCCAGCCTCTACCGCGTAGGAGTCGTGCATTTCAAGCCAAGCTAAGTTTCGCAAGTATTAATAACTAGATTGTGAGAGATGCAAACTGGGCAATTGTTCCAATGATCGAGGTGTTGCCGATTTGCGGAAAAGCATGTAGTGTGTTTTAATGAGTATAGGACACTTGTTGGAAGTATAGAACACTTGGAAGTTGGAATCCTTGGTCTTCTTATTTTAGCCACCAGAGAAACTTTCCACTAGAAAGCTAAGCTATTTCGTGCGGGGCTGGGAGAGGAGCACCTTTGGGAAGCTCCCATTTCTCTCTAAGCCGCCGCAGCGCGTTCTTGGTATTGCGCCGGCATTTCCCAAACGATCCTCTGGAAATCTTGCCCCGTTTGGTCCTCCTGTCCCCGCGCCCACACTCGAGAATCCCTCCTCCCTCCTCGTCGAGAGGAACGAGATCGCGGACTACCCCTGGCAGCCGCTGCTCGAAATTTGGAGGCGGTACCTGCTGCATCCGTGAAATCGAAACGATCGATGCCAACAGAGAATGCCGCCGATCGATGGACGCTACCGCTGCTGCCACCGTCGCCGCTGGATCCGAGAACCTGGGAAGGAGGAGACGCGTGACCTTCGCGAGAGACATGGCGTGATAAACCCTAGCCCTAAACCTAAGCTACTCGAATATTATTTTTCAAATAAGGTATATTCTATGATCAACTAAGCTATTTGTTTTGGAAGTTTGGCTTCCTTTTCTCGAAGAAAGCAGCCATTCCTTCGCTGCGATCTTCCAAGCCAAACGTTGCTCCAAAAAACGCTTGCTCTCTCTTGACGCCTTCCTCGAGATGGCTCTCATACGCGGCATTCACAGCCGCTTTGGCCATGATCACCGCTGGGCGTGACATGCCCGAGATGTTCTTGGCCATCGCCACTGCCTCGGCGACGAGCTCCTCGTTTGTTCCTTCGATCTGCGACTCCACAGAACAAGAATTTAGAGATCCTTCGATCTAAAACTCCAGAAGAAGGAAGAACTTCACTAACCACTCGGCTGGCGAGACCTCGTTGGCACGCTTCTTTGGCATCCATGAAGCGCTCTCCCGTGAGTATCATCTCCATTGCTCGCGACTTGCCGACCTCTCGGATCAAGCGCTGGGTTCCGCCCATGCCTGGGATCGTCCCGATTTTAATCTCTGGCTGCCCAAACACGGCCTTCTCGCCCACCAGGATGATATCACACATCATTGCAAGCTCGCAGCCACCACCAAGAGCATATCTGGAAGGTAGAGCATACGAAAATAATTCTACTTTTGGCGAGCACAAAGGCATGATCGCTTACCCGTTCACTGCAGCGATGAGTGGCTTTCGAATCCTGGAAACTTGGTTCCACTGATCAAGAACAGGATTCACAAATGAATCCACCATAGTCTTGTTCTTGAGCTCTTTGATGTCCACGCCGGCAGCGAACGCTTTGCCTTTACCGGAGATGACAATCGCTCCAACCTGCCAAGATCATTTTTCCTCTCAGTTGTCGCAAAAATTCTTTCTTACCTCTGGCAGGGCATCGAATCCTTTCAAGGCCGCGACAACCTCTCTCATGCAAACCTCGGAGAGCGCATTGAGAACCTGGGGCCTGTTGAGCATCAAGAGACCCACGCTCTTGCTCTCCACGACCTCGGCAGTGATCGTCTCATAGCTTGCCTCTGGATCACGAGCGCCAATCGATGGAGCAACGCTGGATCTCACGAAGCGAGTCGAGTGAATCCAGCGGCAGCTCCTGGAAGAAATATTTCCTGGAGAAAAACCCGCATTGCGGCGAGGATTCGCGACGAATTCTGGAAAACCAGGAGCCACTACGCCCATAATCCGGGAGAGTAGAGACGATCTTACCTCTAATCGTCAAGCGCGCCAGTCGATGCGCCATGGCCATGAAGCCACATCCCTAGACTAAGCTAGGTCACGAGACACTTGTACAGCATTTTCTCTCGAGGGGACAAACCTTTGGAAGAAATGAAATTTTTGATAGCTATAATGTCATAGTATGTAGTTACTATGGTTCTCATCCTAGAAATCTAGGCTACCTTCTGTTACGACTGTGATATCGCGACGACGCACTCTTTCTCCAGCGAATACGATTCTGGACTTCTTTCACGATGAAAGCCACCTTCTCGAAGAAATCCCTGTCAAAAGAGTGATCCCATTTTCATGAATTCCAAGAAGGTTGCTACTACTACTACTACTACGTACCCATCTTCTTGCACAGCCGAGACGATTTCACTGATCTCCACATCCTTGGGTTTGAGCTGCAAAAGCAAGAAAAAGCATGTAAGAGACGTTGAAAAGCTCGGGTTTTACCTCGGCTTCCGCAATGGAGAGTGTTGCTGCGTTGAAGACGATATTGAGTTCGTGGATCGCGCAGTCGGGTATTTTCTTAGCGTCGTCTCTCAGTTTGAAGGACTCGTTGCTTGAATCTGGAAGGTACGTCCGAAGCTGGAGACTTATGTGCCCGCTAGAGATGCCAAGCACTGATACGCCTTTCAAAGCCTCGAGAATTTTGTTGTCCTGCTGATAGCTGTGATCACAAATGATAGAAACATAAAAAGAAGAAAACAAATGTAGTAAAATGTATAAACGGACCTGTCCTTGAGCTTAGCTACGTTTTCAAGGTGCTTGAGTTCTCTCCGCTTCATCTCGATTTGTTCTGCCAGCCGAAGACCCTTAGAAAAACAAAGAAAAAAAAGAAAGAAACCACGATTGAGCAAAGAAGAAAAAATAAAACTAGCGCCTGCTTCACCTCAGAACGGCAATCTTCAATGCTATCCTTGAGCATCATCTTCTCCAGTTCATACTTAGAGCTGTACGTGACTGCGTCCTGGAAGAAAAGTTCAGCCATAAGTTTGAAATTTCTTTACCCCGAGCAGCCGATTATTTTTGTAGTCTTTCATCTGGAAAACACGCATGAATTCGAGACAAGTAGAGTATTTTTTCTTACATTGAGTTCGCAACTATCGAGGGAGTTTTCTGTAGAGCTCAGAAGTGTCTCCATGGCCCTCGCATCTACACATGTGTGTAAGAGTTGGTCTATGAAGAAAAAAACCATAAAAAAGAGGAATGCAAAGAAAAAACCTCTGGTGATCGTTTGTATCAAATTCTTGATCTCACTGATAGTCGAGCCATTCCCGTTGTTCATGCCCATCACCTCCGATTGTAAGCTTTCTAATAAAAATTTATTCGATCGGAGGCTCCATAAGAAAGAGAAAAAAAATCCATACCGAAAGAAGCACCAGAGTCGAACCCTCCTTTCGCCAAATCGGTAAGAAACCTCCGTGCCAGCGATTTCTAAAGCGGCATTGTCAAAATCAAGCATATGGACGATTTCTTACCTCAAGAGCATCAACTTCTTGGTGCTGATCGACCTCGAACATTTCCCTCGCCTCGCTAGAGACGCGCGGCTTCGAATGCGATGAGCAATCAGGGATATCCTCAAAATCCAAGCGAGCGCACGTCTTCCAGGCCTCGGAGCTCGCCAGCGCCATAGCCACCAAGAAAAAACTCCCGAAAAAACCCCAAAATTTAAAATTCCCGCTCTTCTTGCCCCTGTTCTGGGGTAGGGTTCTAGAACGTCTTCTAGCCGATGAGCGATGGCCATCCACGTAGATCTCCTTGTTCTAGAATCAGATCCTTGCTCGATCTAGAGCGCGTCGCTTCCAGGAGATTTTCGTCCTTCCGAGATCTCTTATTCCTTTATTTTCTTCGTTCTAGGGTTTGAAAATGTCGTGGAGGCGATGGCGATGGAGCAACGATGGCGCTGGCGATGCGCTACCCACGGCTCGCCAGGACGCTCCAGATTCTCAAATCCTCGACACACAGGGTACGTGTAGCTCGTAAAAGTGAGGCTTTTTCCAGTGTGAGATTGTTCTAGAACAAGAAGCTCTAGTGGACTCTTTTGAGAAGCGAGACAAATATCAAAACGCGCTGTGGCGGGTACGCTTGTCCTCCTTTTTTCCTTCTCTCTTTGGCTCGTCGAATGCTATGACACTTAATAAACTTTTTGTTCCAGGGGATTTTTGCAGCCTTTGCAGCTACGTGTGCTTTATTCTTCTTTTACTCGGCCCACCAACAGGCCGTAGATCCATGGAGCACTGTAAGTGAAAACTTACTCGTTTTTTTTTCTTCTTCTGTTTTTTTTTTTTTTTCTGTTCTTGCTTTGACGTCCATGACCCCATGACTCTCTCCAGAAGTACCACGCTGTGTTCTCTGGGACATTAAACTCACGTCAGATCGTTTGTGGGGGTAAGCTCAAATCGATTGCTCGCTTTTTGTTTATTCATTTTTGGCAAGCTTTTCCTCCTTGCTGCTGGCAGACTTGGCTGAAGCAATGACCTGTATTGCCATTGTGGTGGGTGTCTTATCGTCAGCAAAGTGGCATCGGCATTTGCTCGTGGCATCGATGATGGCCGGTCTTTTCCTGTCATTGTTTTGGATTTCCAATCTTCTAAGGTGAAGTGCCACTCTCTTGCAGCTCGCTTTCATATATTCGTGCCTTCCTTTCTTTGATGGTTGTTGATTCCCAGATCGCAAAAGCTCCACTTCCAGTTCCAAATGCTGTGGCTTCCTTTCGGTACACCGAGGTATTCATTTTTTAAGATCGCTTTTAATCTGGCTTTGGACTTACGCGTCAACCGACTTGTTAACTGACAGCCTCGCAGCCATATGCCTGTACGTGGACAACGTCCTCGCAGGAACAGCTAAGGATATTCAAGCTCTGCGCGCATCCATGTACCATCATAAAAGGAGTTAAAAATCGACAGAATCATAACAACATCAGCTTGCTGATCAGTAAATCGTCCACAACGTTAGGAAGTGCCAAACATGTTCGTTGCCTCTAGTTACTTCTACCACTTCGGGCTTCATTTATCAGGTTTGATTGGTAAGGTAGACAATCCTCTCCGTTTTTTCTTCTTGCACTGGTTTTGTTTTATTTGCTTTAAGACTGAGATACCGGATCATGGAGCGGGATTGCTACCATAGCACCCCGTTTCTATTTTTCGTTCGTCTCCCCCGGCCTGCTTGTTTTCTAGTCCATTCGTCCCTTGCCGAAAAAAAGCATTGAATCACATGTTGAACTCTGATTGTGGATATAAGGATCGTGCGCTCTCCTGCAGCTGCTTGATTCTCTGGAAATCGTTTACCTTGCTAATGAGTTTGCGTTGTCATGCTGTGGATTGCAGAGAGATAGGTTGCGGTCATGCTCACGTCTCGCCTTATGAGGGGCTCTAAAAAATTCCATCAACAGTTCCAATCCAAAGAACTTGCTTTGAAAAGGTACGCGACACGCCGTTTCCGGTAAAATGCTTCAATCAATCAACGTAACACCAGCCAAAGCATGATGTGCGATGAAAACCAGCAGGTTTTGTGCGGGTCAAAAACAGGAACGAAAGGCAACACTCCTGAGTACAGCGCTGTACTTTTGCAACCTCACTATGTCAAGATCTGTTCCACTTGGGCTGGCACCTGGCAGTATGGCCCAAGAACAGGGGAGCACACATATATGTGCATGAATGCAGCCAAAGTTGGCTGCAACTTAGCAAGCCCAAAAAGAAAAGCCATCATCAAATTGGTTCAGTTCCAACTTCTGCAGGCCAAAAAGAAGAATCACCTCACCAGGCAGACGGCCTGGTGCAATGGCAGAATAAAAAAAACATATCAAATTAGAAGAGCATGGGGAGATGGGTACTCCTTTTTGGTACCCAGTCCAGTGTCTTGTCTGTGCCTTCAGAGGGAGAGATCTTTCTTGTTGATTTGCTACTTGTTTGAGGTTTGGTCTCTCTTTGGTTGGCATATAATTTCTTGCATCTGTGTGGGTGAGTTGTGTGTGTGTGTGTGTGAGTCTGAACTCAAGTCTGAGAGAATTGAAGGCGTCTCCTCTCTGGAGTGATTGATGGATTGCATCAGCATGGTATCAGCAAGCAGCTGAAGCAAAATGATGCTGTGGGAAACCTGACTCGGGTTTCCGTGAAACTTTTGTTGTTCTTTCCCTCAACACACATACCCACACAAACAAACAAGCACGGGACGGACGAGAGCGCAAAATAAAAACGTCTCAAAAGAAGAGCGAGCTATGTCCAATGAGATCAACAAGATAGACAGATAGATAGACATAGAACTACACCATCATTAGAGGCTATGGCCCTTGGGAACTCAAGAGCTTTACGAAAAGAAGCGAAAAAATGTAATCGAGACGGCGTCAACTTTGTGAAGATTGTGAGGGGAATTGCGTGACATAAGATCTTTGTCAAACATAATGCCTGGGATTAAGAGGTGTTCGATTTTAGCAAATGTGACGTAATCACCGCTCGTGCCGAGCCCCCGATCATACTTTTGTATACTGTAGCTATACATAGACAGGAAAGTAAATATGGTAAACGCTACGAGTGCGGGGAGGGGTTTTCACTTTCACCTTTAGATTTACTTGCTTTGACCGCACTTCAATACGATCTATTGTGGCACATACGAGCAGTCCATATACACCTAGATGGCTACTCGTATACGGCTACGATCATTAAGTCGGCCCACATGGTTTGTCTTGGTTTTCATGGCATAGCTTAATTTTTATGACAGCAATACAATAGTGAATTTCGTTGTACTCGTTTGCCATCTTTAAGAAATAATCAAGTAGAATTCAAAAGAATACACTGCCTTTCTCCTGAACTTGCTGGAAGTACTCAACTGTATTTTATAATGCATGTATATGTGAGAGGCTTGCATGTGTATGCTATGATGTGGATGGAGATCTAAGGGAAGGCAATGCAGTTGCAGTTGCAGTTGCAGAGTGCAGCAGAGTGCAGCAACCAAGCAAAGCCAGCGAGAATGACCTAAAACTTTTCAACAGAGGTGGACAAAGAAAAAGAAGTGAAGTGGATGGAGGAGAAATTGGGTTGTCTCAATCAAATCCATGTAAAAATTGGACAGCAGGCAGTGCAGTGCCTTCAGTACAGTACAGTCATGGAGCACAGTGGTCAGTAGTGTGGCAGGCAAATGTGCCAGGCAGTTCTGCCACCCTTACCTATATGTACTAGCGAGCTTCTTAAGAACCCAGGAAATTAAAATCAGTGCTTAATAAAGTAGGATCAGACACCAAGTCCTAACAACACTCAAACTATCTTTCCTGACTGACTGTGACTGTTTTGTGGGGAAGAGCAGATGTTGTTTCTTAATGCTTCTAGCCAGCTTAATTTTCTTTATTCAATTATTTTTTATTTTCCTATACCTTTGCATGCACATCAAGGTAGGCCTACCTAGTACTAGGTAATAGCCTCCACACACTGATGGTGTGTACCATACCATACCCAAGAGGGTGTTGAAAACCACCCTTCATAATGTAGCCCATTTCTCAATCTAATGAAACATAATTACTGGGAACAAAATCACTAAGTTTCTGTTGAACATGCATGACCAAGACCATAATGTCAGTTGTCATTTTGATTCCAGTTTCCATATCAGTTGTTTTTGTGCTGTTGTTGCTAGTGGTACATGCTGCAGTGCAAGACAAGAGGAATGATTCAATCAGCATGGTGGGGATTGTGGGGTTGGGGGCCATTGTTTTTACTTCAAATCAAGCTCTAGAGGAAGAATCTTCCTTTGAATAGAGAGCTTGATTTGTTTTCCCAAACGTGGTGGAGGTGGTGGCGACCCGTGGGTGTCCTGGATTTAAACTTAAAACCTCCTTTTCATGCGATCGAGAGGGCGAGAGAAGTCGAATCTTGCACAAAGAGATCCGCTACCCAACTTCTAAATGTTAAAAGCCCAAGCAAAGAGATTAAATATCTTATACTTTCCCATCAATGCAACTTCGTGTACTTGGACACAAGAGCAAGACGACCCCACCTCCACACACTTCACGAAAAAAAGCCAAGTAAACAAA